CTGGTGGGCAGTTCTCGGCCAAGGCGAGTGGGCGAGAGGGCAACTCTCGCTTGGCCGAGGGACGCAGAGCTGGGTGTCAAACGAGAAAGACGCACGCCGGGGGTGCTTAAAACGACACGCTTCCGTTTGCAGCGGGAGGCACCACACGTGCGCAGACGGCCCTGCGTAAAGAGAACACTCACCGGGTTCGGCTCCTTGGTTACCTTTCAAGAAAGTGGCAACCTGGTTCTTCAGAACGGATTCCGGGCGGACGGAAACCCTACAACGTGTTGCTCGGGTGTGCGACCGACATTCTTACTAGGACCTTTTTCACGGAAATCAAGAAGAAGAAGAAGAAGAAGAGATTGGATTTATACCCCGCCCTTCCCTTGGGGTCTCAGAGCGGCTTACAAACTCTTTTCCCTTCCCCTCCCCACAACAGACACCCTGTGAGGTGGGTGGGGCTGAGAGAGCTCTGACACAAACTGCTCTTTCTCAAGGACAGCTGTGCCAGAGCTTGTGACTGACCCGAGGTCACATCAGCAGGTGCAAGTGGAGGAGTGGGGAATCAAACCCGGTTCTCCCAGATTAGAGTCCGCACACCTAACCACTACACCAGACTGGCTCTTGTTTTCTTGTTATGTCAAGAGAGCAGAATACTGGAAATCTGACCATGTTCCGTCCTAAACCGAGTTTACCCCCTTCTAAGTCCTTTGAAGTCAATGGACTTAACTTTGCTTAAGATGGCACAGTAGGAGTGACCACACCAAGCCTCCCCCCCTTTAAATGTCTCCTGCCCAGCCAATCAAGCTCTATTTTAAAAATCGCTTCGCCTTGATGGCTTGTCGTTTACTGTACCTCAAGGCACGACTGAGACCGAGGTGGGAGGGGGCGTGGGGCGGTGGAATCTTAAGAGCTGAAACCGAGGTGAACGGGCGCTCCTGTTCTGCTGTCGAACAAATATCAGTGCCGCCTACGGCCACACTTACTGTGCAACCCCAAGCAGTAGGTCAGCGGGACATATTAGTCCCTATTCAAGTATTCAAGATTGGGTCTCTTCCACCTTTAAGTCCCCCTGGTTTCAATAGCAGAAGAGAAGCGCTGTCATAAGCAGAGTTACACCCTTCTAAACCCCTTGACTTCAACAGCCTCAGGGATGGGGTTGTTACTCTTCCTTTCGGCTACGTCGTCCCATTTGATTTTGAAAAATCAAAAAAAAAAAGAACAGCACCACTGAGAAGCAAGGCATTCTCTGCTGTGGCCCCTGCCTTGTGGAATGGCCTGCCCGAGGAGGTCAGGAAGCCTCCCGCACTTCTGTCATTCCGCAAACTGTTCAAAACAGAATAGCTCAGGATTTAGGAGGGAATTTTTTAATAAAGGGCTGTATAATAAGGGAATGGTTCGGGAAGGCAAGAACTGTGAGCTAGCTCACAGTTTTTCAGCCTCCAGCTCACAGATTTTTGTCTTTGCTCAGGAAGGATGACTCCAGGGCCAACTAATTTATGCAGTAGCCAAATCGCGTCATTCCGCAAACTGTTCAAAACAGAATGGCTCAGGATTTAGGAGGGAATTTTTATAAAGGGCTGTATAATAAGGGAATGGTTTGGGAAGGCAAGAGAACTGTGGACCCTACCTCCGTGTTTAAGACGTTGTTCTCACGGTATTGTTTTCTACAGATGAAACACCATTTTCTGCACTGTTCAACATCGCCGGTGTGTCGAATACTTTTGCTTTTTAAAGTTCTGTAATCCTAGTCCTATTACATTGCTGATTAGATATCTCGTCCTATGTAATCTGCCAGGAGTCTCAGTGAGAAAGGCAGACAATACCAAATAACATCAGTTGGGTTTCTCACCAGACACAGATGGGTTTTTAGATTTTTCCATATGTTATAACCTAAGATTAACGTTATACGTATATACAAGTTATATTTTAATTCATATTTCTTTTATAAATCTCGTTTATTTTTAAACCCCGGGGGCTGTCCTACTTTAAGAGCGTGATCCTAAACGGATCTTCAATGGGCTATCCACTCTTTCATGGAAGTCTGCTGGGTAACTTTGGGCTAGTCATACACAGCCTACCCTACCTCACAGGATTGCTGTGAGGATAAAATTGAAGGGGAAATACTGTAAGCCACTTTGCGTCCCCATTGGGGATAAAAGTGGGGTAAATGAAGTAATAAAAATACATCTCTAGAACTGGTAGGAGAGGCTAGGAGCCGTCTTCCAAATAGTGTTCGCAAAATGATTACATTTCTCACTTTGGGATTTAAAATCAACCTCTGCCGAGAGAAAGTATGCCTCTTCGTTTGATATGGCAAGATTGTCTTGACAATGGATGCAGTTCCAATCAGGGATAGAAGAGCGATGATAATATAGGCAGAAATTGCGAAGCTACTAACTTGAACTCTTGTTAGAATTCCATCAGGCTCAAAGGTTCCTGAAGAAGTGCTAATGTCTTCCGCTGACATCCGTGCTAAACATCTGGAGGCACGGAACGGGACAGGAAACCGTCTCTATATCTAATGGACAGGTGAGCATTTCGCAAGTTTGCACACGTAGTTTTCGGAGGTGTAATAATATCTAAAAACGTATGCGTCAGCCCGAATCATTTACTAGGAGGGCGGAAACTTGATCTTCATAGAAGATTGGCTGTTTCTGCATTGAACTCCCTTAAAAGTGATTAAATTTGCTCGGATCTGTATATAATCTATATATAAAACCCTCTTCTTTGTCTTCCATGTGCATTAAGCAGTTATGTATCAGATTGTACACCGATCTTACTATTGGTTGTTTGAAATGATGTTGCATTATTTTCAGTGGGACATTCCCTAATCAGCGTGCTTAGAAAGGAATGCCAACTTGTACCCTGTCCTGTCCAAGAAGTCCTCAAAAGATATATCTTTCCTTTGGTTTCTTCTATTCCCCATCTAAGCCTTTACATATCTAAAACACCAAGGAGAAAATGAAAGAGCGCTTACTGAAAAGTGAAGGTGGGCATTCTCTTACACAGCTATGAAAGACTTCAAATTTGAGTATTTCTCCCACCCAGCTGCACTGAAGATGACCTCGATAGAGACCAACCCTTTTCCCCGACAATGGTTCATTTCCTCCGTGTTATGTTTAGGCTACAGAAGCGGGGAAATGGGGGGGGGGGGTTCCTTGCCCCTTTTTACTTTCTTGAAACCTTAAATCAAAATGCTGTCGACTGCAGGTGAAAAGTAGGAAGGCGGTGGAGGTGGAGACGGTGTGCCTTCTTCTTAAAACAACAGCAACCAAAACGTGCAAGACCTGGTTGGGATAGTCAGCCGCCTTCTTTGCGGAGAGCTTCTGACTGGAAGCGAACGTCAAGCGTGGCTTTGGCAAGGGAGGGGGAGAGAGAGGGGGCGGGGAAGACTCCTGCTCCTCGTGCTTGCGCTCTCGGTGCAATAGGACGTGTTCCTCACATGTTCTTTTCCTAATTGCCAACAAGAAAGTTCTGCTCTCGCTGGGCTTGGTTTAGTAAGCAGGTACTCCCCCCCCCCCCATGAGTCACTCCGAACACGCAATCCCAGCCGCTGCCCGAGTGACAGCTAGCCGGCGCTCTGGCTTCTGGTTGTCCCTTTAAAATCCGAATCCAAGGGTAATGATTTATCAAACTCTTATTATCAAGAAAATGTCATACGAAGGGCACCTTGCTATGCACTGACGCAAACCCAGTCTTTCCCACGGAGGTATAGAAAGGTTTGCTCTTGCCCGAGCAAAACCCAGTCTACACAGTTTGCCTGTACTGCTGTTTTTACCTCTAGCGTTCCCATCTGATGCTATTTGATATGGTAAGTGGCTTTTGCTTTTCTGTTCTTTATAGGCAGTTCGTGTGTGTGTGTGTGTGTGTGTGTGTTGGGGTATCTCCTATTGGATATTAAATTGGTTTGTCCAGAGTCCCTGCTGAAATTGAAGGTATCCGCAATCAAACAGAGGAACGTATTTTAGGCATATAAGCAATGGGAGAGGGAATGTAAGGCGATGGGAACTATCCAGGGTCCTGAACCCCACATTCCGCTGCAGACGCTGCTTCTCCGTAATACTATAGCCAGTGGAAGCATGCAGGACTGTATTTCAGAGCAAGAGTGAACTCTCTTATTTATTGCCTTTATACTGATGATGTGAGCTTTGCAAATTTTAGGCATAGAAGGGCTAATATACATATAAGAAGCTGCAGTGAATGATTCTTCTGTCTCTTTAGAGTTCAGAAAAAATGTTTCTACAAACAATTCTGAACCTGTAGAATGGCAGCACCATCTCTGTTTGTTCTAACATGGGAATTTAAATTAATATATATATTTGCGTGGATCAGGATAAAAAAGTTAAAGGTTAGGTCAATCAAGATCAAGTTTGCTAAGGCTCCAGTTCTTAGCACACTTCAAACCCCGTTAAATTAAGTACACATTTAGGACTGGTCTATAAGAACAGGCGATTCAGCTTTTGCTATACTAAACAGTATCTCCAAGTAATGCTTCCTGTAGACTTTCATCAAAACTGTTGGAAACATCAGAATCAATATAACTGAGTTGAGTTATACCTCACTAGCTGTCCGGAGGACAGATTTTCTCTCTCCCCCACCCCCAGCCAGTGTGCATTGCTGAATGACAGAAAGGAAATGGGGCGTAAAATTAAAGAATCTTTCTACAATGGTGCTAGGGGAAGGGAGCATCCCACAGTCGTGATGTGAAAATCAAGGAGGTTGGCCAGCCGAGAGCTGGAAGGAATATCCTACCTACCATTAGAAATGCAGGTCTGCAGGCGCTGATATTGTTAGAGCTTACTGTACTTCTCCTAGTGTGCGATGCCTTAAGTTTACCGACACAGGAGCTGTCCTAATTGAATCTGCGGCAAAGCCTCCTTAAGCAGTGCAATCACAATACACACATTTTATCTTCGGGACGAGTCTCTTGTTCCAAGTCAAAACCTCCCCCCCCCCCAGCTTCTCTCATTTTAAACGTGACTTTGTGCTTGTAGGATTATGCCAGTCAAAAGGAGATGAGCAAGCAGCTTGTCAACAGCCCCGAGACGGTGGCTACCGGGCCGCTGGACGGTGCAGGGATGATCCGGAACAGCCCCGAAAACGAGCAGCCGCAGCACCTGCCTTCCCAAGTTCCATCGCAGCTAGCCAAGGTGGCCACAGCGCTTTCCGCTGACAACCAAACGTTGCCATCTGACGAAGCCAAACCAAACGATGCCGAGAGGACCAAAGTGGGGATCTGCAAACTGGCCCCCGCGCAAGGCAACGCCACCTTCGGCACAGACTCCGTCGACCCTTTGCCTCTCCAGAACACCCCCAGCGCAGGGAACGCGGCGCAGGCCAACCTGGGCCCTTGCAAAATCCCCTCCTTGCAAAGCACGGACGGGGCAGCGAATCAAAGCCTTGGGAAGAGCACCCTGGAGCAAAACAATGCCAAGGGCGGCTGGGTGCCCCTGAGCCAGAGCACGGTGGTCTTGGGCACCGATGGGAACACCTCTGTCCTGCCTGGCAGTCTCGGAGAGGTAAGTTATTTGATTCCCCTGTAACTCTTTGGCTTTCCGACTGATCGCGCACAAAGGCTCTGAAAAGGGACCGAAACCAAGGCAGTTGACCATGACCACACACGATGTTGTCTCAGGACAAACCCTTAGTTCAGATGTAAGGACTGCTAATTCGCGGTCCTGAATGAAGAACCTTCCCCTCTCTGTGTGAAAACCCTTTCCCCCATCAATTCGACCCCAGGTAATAGCACAGCGAGAGGCTGAATATGCTTTGCTCGCCCTAGCCGTAGGGCGCATTCAATAGAAGTAGAAGAGAAAACAGTAGATAAGTACCGCACTGGACTACCTTGCCTTATTGGGATAAAAGAAGAAAAGGGAAGGGAGGGGGGAGTGCCTTTCGTGGGTGATAAAGAGGTAATCATCCAGGAAGTTCGGTCTCTGTTAAGAAAGGTGCAGCATCAGTCCTAAATGCTTCCTTATGACTTCAAGGCAGGCTCACCTTGGAGTAGACTCACTAAGCCCACTGGGATTTATTTCGGTGTAAGCATTCTTAGGATCACTCGCTTGCTCTCTCGTTTTACATACAACCGTCCTCCTAGACTGAACTGCAGGGAAAGGACGGAAAACACTGAATGTGTTTGATGGAGAAAGAAACTATACATTGAAGAACTGTGGTTTTTTCCCCCTCTTTAAACTTTCTGACCCCACCCTTCAGTCTTGGGATGGCAGCCACCAAAGGCAATACAGAAATATGAATTTACCAATATTCTAAGACCAGAGAATTAGGACAGCTTCCCACCCCCATTAACGACAGCGCGGCGGGCGGGGGGGGGGAGGGGAGAGATGCCGGGGGGGGGGGGGGGGGGGGGAGAGATGCCAGCCACAGAAGACAATGCGCCCTACAGGGCACTCTTTTGTCTACATGATAGGCTAGGGGCAGGTGCGTGAGAAGAGAGGCCCATCGAGTTCAGAAGGCATATTTGGAAGGGTGCCTGCAGTCCTCCCCGAAGTGCACCCTTCCTGCCTGACACTGAACGTCGCTGGCTCTTCTTCATTGGAGGGCTGGAAAAGGCACCCTCTGGGAACACAATACCAAGGCAAATCCAACCACAAAACCACCCAAGCAAAGAGCGAACTCGACTCAGGCCTTCTCCCCGAAGCGCCCCCCCCCCCCGCGGGTCGGGCTGGGCCCAGTGATCAATCACTCCGTCTCCGACAGTTCAATCGTTACTTGGGGTCAGTGAACAAGTCCCGGGCACTGCGGCATGATGTGTGGAAATGGGGCTGGTGCGCTCAAGGCGCACCTGGTACCCTGGCAGAACAGCGGCCTCTCCGAGCAATAGCAGAGACAAGCACAGCTACCGACAGAGGCAGGGGCAGGAGCAGCCTGGCCGCGCTTCCAGCCCGAAGCCATTTCGAGGGCCCAGTCGGACTAGCCCCCCCCCCCCCCCTGCATCACGACGGAATCCGGCTTCTGCTACTCGGCTCCGGAGTTAATGGCTCGGAGGACTAAACCTCCAGACCCAGGCGGCCTCAAGACCCGTATTGAGAGGTGGCGCCTGGCGCATTTCCCCGCTCTTGTCTGGAAGCCCGGACAGGTTTCTGAATCAAACGCAAATCTGCATTCCGACTAAAGTCCGTTTTACGTGTGCGTGACAGGCCGATTTCAGTTTCAAGGTAACATTCGCCGCTAAGATCTGAGGCGTTTCAAGGGTCGAGTTGCTTGAGCTACATCGGTTTAAAAGTCTAGCGGTTCATCTGAAGGAGTTCCAGCAAAGGCGACCTCAGAAGAATGGTTTCGGTTTTTAGTTTCCTTCATTCTGCGGTTTATGATGGAAACAAGCCGGAGTCTACCATCCCCCCCCCCACCTGACATTAGGCACATTTGGAAGTGTGTTTTAACAGCTTGGTGTCTATTCACCGATCTTCGAAGGGCTTTAGGTTTTCAGTGACCGAGTTTTGCAGTTATTGCAGGGAATGCTACGGTTGACACCGTCGGAAGAAAGGCTGTCAAAAACAGCGTGGAGAGGTTCGACTCTCCTTCGCCCCCCCCAGGCGGCACCTTAACTCTCTGCCCACCTTTGCAGGAACCGACTGAGGAGGAGTAACAGCTTTCCATATTTTTATCTGGCCAAACTATGGGTTCAGTCCCTAAAAGAGCTTTCCTAGGAGTAAACACTCCCTATTGAATAACATGGGTCTTACTTCTGAGTAGACCTGCTCTGGCTTGCTCGCGGTGATAATTACTCAGTATCCTGGTGATCTTCAGATTGATGGGAGTCTGGGTCTCCTGGCACGTTTTAAACTGCAATTATGTAGTCCTGAATCACAGGACCATAATTACAACACGATTTCCAGTCTCCCGGGTATTTGCACAGTCGTACGTTTGACTTCGAATGGTCCTGCGGAGCCCATTTACCTCTTCCATGAGAGCGGGGCTAAAGGGCGAATTTTACCACGTGGGAACTGTTGAGCGGTGTGGGTTAAGGGATGGAACAGGGCGGAAAGCACTGTTGAGCGGTGTGGGTTAAGGGATGGCAGAGAGCCACGTGAACAGGGCGGAAACCGACCTGAGTAATCGTGGCCAGAACTCTCAGAGCCAGTTATTAATTAATCGTTCACAGCCCTATTCAAGGAGTGGGATTACATTCCAAGTCCCTTGACACGGTTTGGTTTTCCCTCCGCCGGATTATTCCAACTGTGATCATGGGACAGAGGGCGTGCTCTTTCCATGTGGGTTTAAATGCTGTAAAGCCAGTATGAAGCCTACATGGGAACGTTACAGGGTTTTTCTTCCAGATTCACACGTGGTAGATTTGAACACGTAGGAGGAGAAAGTCTGAAAACTGCTTGTGGTCCGAAAATGAGCAGGGCTCTTGTGTAATACAACACATACCCTTGCCTAGTTAATCACGTCTAAAAACGGACAGGGGCTGAATTTCAGGTGGCTGGATAGGGCACGACGTTGATCAGTGGAGGAAGTTCACATGCTCATCTGTTACCCACCGAGGCCTAAAGTGAAGTATGTGCATGGATTGCTCCTAATTTGTATCGGACTCCTAGCCAGGCCACAATAAACTCTCCAGCTTTTAAGCTGCTATAGGGGGTCTCTCTCCGAATTTAAACGCGCTATTCTCACTTTTGCAACAGCTTCCGCCACAATAAACTCTCCAGCTTTTAAGCTTCTATAGGGGGGTCTCTCTCCGAATGTAAACGCTCTGTTCTCACTTTTGCAACAGTTTCTCTGTGAATTTCTTTTGTAGACCTTTTTATCTGGTAGTGGCCAGATCTGAGACTGATGTTTGCCATCCATGGCTGTTTCCAGGTCAACCTGATATGTCTGTCTGCTTTATCTGGTAGTGGCCAGATCTGAGACTGCTGTTTGCCATCCATGGCTGTTCCCAGGTCAACCTGATATGTCTGTTTTGTCTCCCTGCATCAGGATGACGATGAAGGGGATGAGAATAAAGCCCGGGGCAACTGGTCTAGCAAGCTGGACTTCATCCTCTCCATGGTGGGTTATGCAGTAGGGCTGGGCAATGTCTGGAGGTTCCCGTACCTGGCCTTTAAGAATGGGGGAGGTATGGATTTTCCTCTCTTTTTACATCCTGCAGCTCCGCAAGGGGTAGACTTGAGGCCTTGATCCACAAGCCAGTAGAAATGGAGGGCTTGGCTTGAATTTACACTGGTTCCGTTGGGCATAACTGGCTTCTGGATCGACTACCCGCCGGCAAATTAGGGAGCGTGAAGGAGGGGAGGGTGGTGGAGCAGAGGGCAACGGGATTGCGCAGAGTCTAGGGAAGTCCTAAAACAGAAACTTCCCGAAGATGCTCTGGAGCACCTTAAGTAGGTCTATCCCAACTTGAAAGCACTCCGTAACAATCTTACCTAATCCGGTTGATGAAGAGTAGACAGAGGACAGGGTTTCCTCGTCCGGTTTATAATTTTGAGTGAAGCGATTCCCGTATTCCTTAGGCGAGTACGGTAGTTATTCTGGATCCGCGGCGGCAAATACGCCATACCATAAAGACGCAAAATAGTTGCATTTGCTTTGAATTATGACACGGCTAAGAAAGGTCTTGGTAAAGAATAACCTTTATAAATAGAACATAAGAACCTGCAGTAATTAGTCACTTTTCTTTCAATGCCTCACCCACCAGAATTAAGACAATCCTATGCTGCTTTAGAAGTAAATTTCATTGTAAGGGCGAGATTCGCTTTCTTTTATTCTTTCAGCGTGTTCCAGGAGAGTTTATCTCGGAATAAGCGGAGCGAGGGAAGATTGATGCTGTAATTATTTTGAAAGGAAAAGAGCGAAAGGGAGGGACGCGGCGGAGAGGAAAGGGATTGCTTAACCCGGCCCCTTTCGACTACTTGCCCGCTCAAGAGCGCCCTCCCCAGGTCGCTTTCCCCTTTCCAAGTAGAATTGCAAAGAGTCGGGATGCCAGTTTACACACGTGGAGAAACTAAGATGTTTTATGTAATAAAATAAAATGTTCGGCTGGACAGGTAATCCATCAATATTAGACCAATCCTGGTTCAATATATTTAAACCTCTTTATTTGTAAATAAGCCTAAATTTTTTTAATTCGAATTATTCCTCAAAGGAAGGAAAAAACACTGGCCATTTAACAAAAAAAACTTTCTCTGATATGAAAGCAGTTTAATAAAGGATTTTCCCCTCTTTGCTTTTACAGTGGCAGAACAAAAATACAGGAAGGCTTGTTCCAAATAAACAGACAATTGCATTGAGAGACCTTGTTTAATACTGTCCCCCTTTGTATTTCATGATTACAAAATGCAAAATATACCAGCCTAATTAAAGACATGTCTTTCCAATCGATCAGAAAGCATTTCCGTTTCATTACCGAAGAAAGCTTATTTTTGTTTTCCCGATATTTAGATACTGGTACCCGCCCCACACAGTCTACACTCCTCCTGAAACACATTCGAATTATTTCTATGCTTATTTATTTATTTATTTGATTTAAACCCCGCCCAAACAGGCTCGCATACGAAGCACTAGAAAATAACTGTTGGCATCATATAGTTCCATTCAGATTTAATATACACATCAACTGTATAGTTTTTAGGGTGAAATTTTTCTAAATATACTTTGGAATATATGAAAAAGGCGTTTAAGAGTGCCTTAAACACCCCCCCCCCAAAAAAAAACACCCTTGGATATTTCCAAGCAAAACTTTGGCTTTTCTCAAAAACTCCAGGAAGACTTGTTAATAATTACTGCAGAGCACCAGGAGTCATTCGTCGACTCCCGTAGCATCTTGCCCGAAAGGATTTTAGGATTTACCCTTTTCGCCTACGCCGTTTTTCACATCTACCACCGCTGTGGAGCTTGACTAGATCGCAGCTGAGTTCGGTACAGAGGCTGCAATCCCAGATGCACACTTGACGGAAAGTGCCCGTGCCAACTCCATTAATGACGACCTCGTAGGGTTTTCAAAGCAAGAAACGTTTAGAGGGGATTAGCCATTGCCCGCCTTTGCGTTGCGACCCTGGACTTCCCTCTAAGCCGTGGAGTCTTGTGAGCAAAAATTCTACTTTGTGAGCAGCTGGCATTAAAGTTGTGAGCGAGCGATTTGGCTCCTGCAGAAATCAGTTTGCTCTGGAGCCCTCCTTCCTGAGCTGAGACAAAAAAAGTGTGAGCCGGAGGCTAAAGAACTGTGAGCTGGCTCACACTAACTCATCTTAGAGGGAACACTGTTTCGCTTCCCAGATCTGATGTGACCCGGCGAACCTTGAGCCATCCAGGTCAGGGCCGTGTGCCTTTACTTGGGAATAAATCCCACTCAATTTACTCCCAATTCCGGGGGTTCGACAGAAGATTTTAGATCTTACGGACTCCTCCTGGCCAGCTCTACTTCAAAATTGTCCCCTTGGATGAAATGGGGATTACCCCCACGCAGGGCTGGCTCACTCACTAGGCGAACTAGGCGGTCGCCTAGAGCAGGACAGCCCTTAGGGGCGCCAAACTGAACCCGGCCCTATACTCTGGGAGTTCCTTGATTATTTGTGTTTTTCATTCTTCCTAAAATGCATTTATTTTTGAAAATTGGTGGGTGTTTTTCATTCTTCCTAAAATGCATTTATTTTTGAAAACTGGTGGGCGCAGGGGGGGGGGGCGCCAAAAGGGATCCTCGCCTAGGGTGCAAAATAAGCTGGGGCCAGCCCTGCCCCCACGCAGGCGAGTGTGCATCGGATTGCAGTTCGCCGCCCAGGCACATGCTCCGGGAGTCACCCTGGCAGCTCCGGTCTCCTCTGGGCTTCGTGGCCAGAGCCTAGTCCTGAAGGCGATTGCCACGTGCGCAGGGCCCAGTTCAGCTGCGCGCGTCCTACGTGGCGCCTTCACTTGGCTGAGCCCCACCCCCACCCCCGAGTTATCACGACACAGCCGCCGGGGAAGCCTCCCACGTAAAAGACATCAAACGCCCGGAAACGTGAACCGTTTTCTCTTCCATGCGAGAGTCCAGATCCCTTGGCTTCCCGCAGGGCTCTCCCTTCCGCCCCCCCCCCCTCCCGGAGGAGGCGGGGAGACGCAGTTGCCGGCGATGATGAGGGGACTGATTAGCCCTAATTGAATTAGCCTCGCCACCTGCAGCAAGGCTGGCCGCCACTTCCCCCCCCCGCAGCCCGCCGGGCCTGACGCGCTGCCGAGGCGAATCCTTCCCGGACAGGCCCAGAGGACGGGACGGGCCAGGACGCGGCTGAACTGAACGAGGCAGGGGAGCCGCCCGGCCCTCGGCTGATTTGTTCCGAAGGCAGGGCCACAGCACCCAAGAGGGCTCGCTCCAGTTGCAATGGGCCGAGGGTTGCCCTTTGAGCTGGAAGCCGGTCCTGTGGAGCTGAGACGCAGTCCTGCGTGGCGCTGGGAATCGGCCCGCTCCCGTGCAGAGGAAACATGCCGGAATCCAGCTGCTGGAGTCTCCTGTATTAAATACAAGTTGTGCTCCTAAACCAGCTCACTTGGAAAGAAATAATAGGTCCTATCATAGAGCAGGTTCTTTGGGAAGCAGCCTGAAAAGCATTTCTGCCTCGGTAGTCATTACGGGTTTTATGGTGCATGAAAACACCGTCTGTCAATCTGACCAATGCGCCAACCTTTTTCACAGGAGGGTCCCCTGCCTTCTGTCAATAACGGATCTCCACTAAAGAGGAACGCTTTCCCAGTCCCAAAAGATGCCCTATTTTGTGACGGTCTGAGGGTTGTATAGTAGCTCTGCCCTGTGCAAATGCAAAAAAGGAAGAGCAGGGAGGATAACCAGGGGAAAGGGTGAGGGCTCCATGCTGCCTCCTGCTTTGTCTCTGAGGTCTGTCCTCTCCTCTCCCATTAGGTGCATTTCTTATCCCCTATCTGACAATGTTGGCTCTGGCTGGGATTCCGATCTTCTTCCTGGAAGTTTCTCTGGGGCAGTTTGCTAGTCAGGGACCTGTGTCTGTTTGGAAAGCCATCCCTGCCTTACAAGGTGAGCTAAGCAAGAACCTGTGCAGTTTGGAAGGCGCCCCAGGCTTTGTCCAGCCGCTTAAACAGGAGAGATATGGCTCCTGGCTGTCACTGTTCCGAGCTGCAGTCTGACGTTGACCTTGAGATAACCTTGGGCTGACTGATGGAGCAGCAATGCAGCACTTCTGCTTTCGTAAATCTCGCCTGCATTTCCCAGCAGGAGAGCATTCCATTGTTCTATGACTTTTATTGCATCTCATGCGTGTCATGTGGTAAGGATACTTGCATTTGCTGCTGAGTAACTCATGAATACCATATGGCACATTCATTATCCTTGCTTGTAGAAGTTGTGTTTAGGGAGCTGCTATTTTAGAGGAACAAGATGCGCACCAAGATGCAAAGGTACCCTTTGGATACAGGCAAACTTAAATTGCAACAAAGCAGTGAATTTTAAGAGTGCTTGTGGTGCTTGCTTTTTGATATTGCATGCAGATAATGCTGCTTTGGAGGACTAATCACACGTGGTCTCAAATTAGATGAGTAACTGCTCACTAAACATCAACCATGGATTAATTTAGTGTTTACCAAATAAAAATATATGTGCTGCTCATTGTACACTTATTTGGGATTGATCTCTTATGAATTTGATTGAATTGTGGATAGGATTGGGTTGTATGACATACTGAGTCTATGCAAGGTGAATAAAACATATTTTTTAAAGTAAAAATATATATGAAGAGAGATTCATGATGGTTTTCAGATCACTGTATATTTTAGCAGCCAAAGGGAAGATGGCATCTAATTTTCCCTGTTTCTCTTTTTTTTCAGGCTGTGGCATTGCTATGCTGATTATCTCTGTCCTAATAGCCATATATTATAATATTATATTGTGCTACACACTTTTCTACCTTTTTGCATCCTTTGTATATGTGCTGCCTTGGGCTTCCTGTAACAATCCATGGAACACACCGGATTGTAGAGATAAAAACAAACTTTTGCTAGGTAAGACATCACAGCATGCTTTTCCTTTACGTCCGTGGTATTTTCTTTTAAAGTCAGATGGCTGTGGGTGTGTACCTTTTGACAGATCAGTGAGGTTCTGCCTCAGAATTACTAATTATTACTTCCTGTAGATCTGCTATGACAAACTTATTTTCAGTTTATTGTTGTTATCACAATTACATTTAAAATTGTGTAACAAATTTAGATCTGATAGTGAAAATTAATTCTGCAACAGCATCCACCTTTCACATTTATTTTCCAAGCATGTAACTCAGGGGTCATTTCGTAGAAAAAGAGCTAGGGGAACTCATTAGCATAACTCATTAGCATATGCCACACCCCCTGACATCACCGGAAGTGTGTCATACGGCCACACCTCCTGACATCACCGGAAATGTGTCATAAGGCCACACACCCCGCCCCCAACGGTCCCGGCCGCCGCCGGCGGCCTTGCAGCTCCACTGCCGAGCCCCATGAGGGGCC